TGTTAAAAGCGTCATCTAAGTGAGGTATGAGCCAAATATGCTGACTTCTCAAGAATCTTGACTTAAAGTGTTACATACTTTGTTTGGTAGAAAACTCAGGAGAGAAATCCTATATGCTTAACTTTTACCTACCTCTTGCCCTTAGTTGTCTACCATTATTTCTTCCTTTTGGTGGAGAGATCCTTTTTAGAGATTAATGCCAAAGGGGGAGAAATATTGGGAGAAAATGTAAGGGAGGAGAGATTGATATGTGGATTTAAAGGGGTAAAAGGGAGGCATATAAGATTTTTTAATTTTTATTGTGTGATGTGTGCAAGGATAGTTTAAATTGATGCTCTTGATAAGGACTGTTTATGCTAGTGTGATGTTCATGCCTTTAATGTATTGTTTGTTTTCTCTGACTGCCACTGTGCGGCAGTACCGCAATTACTTGCGGAAGTGCCGCACATGACAGCCTTTGAAACTGTTGAGTGCATGAACTGCCATGAGCATCATGTTTATCATGATGACACCTTGCACCCCACGGATGCTAAGATATAGGAGAGTTCCCACACTTCATCTTGAATATGCGCATTTGGCATTTGAGGCCAAAGTTTGAAATTTCATTCTATGCACACATTTAGGGGGAGCTCACTATACCATAGGATTCAAAATCTTTGTATTTATCAATCTCTTATAAGCTTTAATTGTGTTGTCATCAATCACCAAAAAGGGGGAGATTATAAGTGCATCTAGCCCTTTAGTGGGTTTTGGTGAATTGAATGACAACATAATCAAAGGTCTAACAAGTTTGCTAAGTGTTGAATAGGAAATTGAGGTTATTGCATACACTTGTGGATTGTGTAATGAGAAGTATATCAAAGGTTCAACAACAACGTAACTTGATGATATGCCACATAGTGTTGAAATGAAACCCAAATTGTATATTGTTGTCTTGGAAGATTATGGAAACAATCTAGTTCAAACAAAAGACAACAATACAAATGGAATAAATGAAATGGCTTTTATGTTGTGGGATGTCATGGCATCATGTGAAAGCAAGCATATTTGGTAAATGTCACATGAGACATGACTTGATGATTTTGGATTGATCTCTATAATGGCTTTTTTTGCATGAACAAGAAGAGTTTGATAATGGATTAGCTTTGATCAAGGATTTAAGAATGAATCAAGAGTGTATATGTGAGGAAATGTTAAGCAAAGGTGAAATGACAAAGGAGACAATGTATAATGGATATAAGATGTTCTCTACATTGGTTTGCTTTTATGGATAAAGATTTGAAAAATCACTTTGCATTGACTTGATCAAGCTAGAAGTATGAAGATAGATATTGAAGTGGGTATTAGGAGTGTCAAGCCAAAATGTAGAGGATATAAGGAATCATGAATTGGCTTGACCATATTGATTTTGATTCATATATGTCTTTATGTGAATCAAACTAAAGCTTGATTGATCTCAACATTCATATCTAGAAGATATTCAAGCAAGGATCATACTATTGAAAAAATGGTTTTTCAATGGATGCTTAGTATGTGTGACTTGAGTATAATAAGTTGAAGATAGCAAGGAAAGGGCTTCGAGGGACTAAGTGAAGGTGAAGGGCAAGCGATGGCTTGAGGACCGAGGTACCATGGCTAAGGTGAAGAAGAGAGTACTTGCATTGAATCGAGGAACTAATCAAGCTATAAGGAGTCATATTGTGTTAAGGATCAAATCATTAGTGAAAGTGACTTAAAGCCATTGAGGTGAACTCATATGTAAGGAAATGGTTCAATTCACATGCTCAAGGTGTGTTTGCTCGAATAGATGAGATAAAGATGATTGCAACCCCTTATGAAGTGATATTGAGAAGAAATAGCATATGAAGACATTGAAGACTCAAGTAGTTGAAATAGTTATATTCTCTTGATCTTGAGTATAGGTATGCCGTACTATCAAGGGGGATGCAATACAAATCATAGACAAGTCTCAAGTGCTCAAACTAACCGAACCCAAGTGCTAACATGAGAGAAACATATTAGCACAACACCTGCACTTATTGATTTTGGGGCTTGTTCTTGGCTGGGCTCGATAGCCCTCGAAACAAGCTTTCTAGAAAGTCCAAGATCACTGAAAATAGAGTTTGGAGTAAAAAGTTATGGCATTTTCTGTGAGGTGACATGTGCTGTTTCTAGGAGCTACGGCAGTGCTGCGGGTCGGCGCGACAGTGCCGCACCTGTACAGGTCATAAGGGCTAATTTTTGAACTGTAATGGCTAGTTTGTGTGGGGTGGCTATAAATACCCATCCCACGCTTTCTGGTGTGGTTGCTGACATTGAGATCACTCCCAACCCATTCCAAGCCTTGTGAGAGCTCTCTCTAACCCCTCTCTTTGTGAGAGCGAGTGATTAGTGATTGATTAAGTGTTAGAGAGCAATTAATAGCAAGCCAATCCTTGAGCACTTGTTGGGCTACGTCAAGCATTCGTTGTGCATTTGTTACTCTTGGAGGTGAATCCTCGTCGCTTGACGAGCTCCCGTGCTTGTGGTGAGCCACAGGAAAGTTTGTATTACCCAAAGATCTTAGTGGAAACCTCAAGCCCAACCTCAGTGTTGGACTTGAGAACATGATTGGGTTGGAAGAGACCAAAGCCTTTGTGGCTTCCTCAACAACATGGACGTAGGCAAGCCTTGGCAGCGAGCTGAACCACGGGATAAATCACGTGTCCTCTCTCTTGTGTTGATTTGCATTATTTGTGTTCCACTCGATCTACTTGGTTGTGAGTGTTTGTGAGTGCAGGTACTTAGTGGACTTGCCACGGGACATCTCCATGCATATCTCCAAGTTTGGGTTCTAGGCGTAGCTGCTGTTGAAGTTCTCTGCGCAGGCGTGGGAGTGCCGCATTCTCAGTGAGGCAGTGCCATGTGACGGAGCAGTAGTGCCACGCACTCTACTAATCCGCTGCATGTTTTATTTGTTGTTAATTTTTAGTAGCGCCTATTCACCCCCCTCTAGGCGACATTAAGGTCCTTTCAAAACTGACCAGGCCCAATGAAGAATGTGTTTGGTTCCTAGTTTGTAGCCCGGCTGAGGACCAACTAACCCCAACTGCCATCTTGAGATGGTGATTGGTGCAGGGTATACTCGGCCTCGCCCAAAGGGAGGTAGCGGATAGGCAATAGGGAACATAGGAATGAGCACAAGTGCAACTGAATTATACGTGGAGTTCCATTACATTAACAGCAGTCCACACTACATTACTATGCTAAAAATAGGCCTTCGAGTTACCACTAAACCGTCATTACCAAGCATAGCTGCCTCCATGTTACAACAAAAAGAAGTGACAGTTAAACTATGAACACCAGGTACCATCTCTAGTTTCTAGAGGAAAGAATAGATAGCCACAAGTTTCACAAATGCATTACACAAAACCAAAAGACATGGAGGCAACTCTTGAAGCATGTCATTGTCTCATCATGGGCCAAAGCTAGATTGTCACTTACATTTATTGCACATGGACAGCCTCAACCATAGGCCAAATACCACAATTAAAAGAGAGACAATGGCCACATTCTTCCAAGAACCACTCTTACCATCAAGATGAGGGTGTGAGGCAGTAGTATGAGGTTGTAACAGATTAGGGGGAGATGTTACTGCTCGGCATGATGCATTGAAATCACTAAGGGTATGATCATAGTTAGTATACTTCTTGTATATAGCATTTTTGACCCCCAGAACTTGTTCACTACACTCATGCCAGGTCTGATAAATCCTAGGTTGCTTCCCATTGAAAACCACATAGCAAGGGACCATTTGCTGTGTAATGAAACAATGGTTTAGCCTCAGTGAAATGTAAGTAATGAAACTTGCCATGAGTGTGGAACTTGAAGATCTACGGTTTGGGATGAAACAAATCGTTGATCTCAAGTCCCTCACTGATGACCAACATCATCAAGTTCAAATCAACAATGATGACATCACAGGCAATTTAAAAAAACATTGGCCTCAGCTTTAGAATCTGGTGGTGTAATTCATTAGTTAATTCATTGGTGGCTGCCTTTCAAATAAAAACCTAGTAGAATAGCAAGGTTAAAAATGCAGGCAACAGAAGATTCAAACAAGTGTAAACCCATGGTCATGGCTGCCATGGAACCCTAGTGCATGTCCATTCACTGCCATCAGCATAAAAAAGAAGGTGCTGTTGCTAGGGAATGGACGTATCACATGGGTTTGATGACATACATGACAAAGAACAAAGAACTAAGTTATCAGGGCAGCCACCTCATATGTATCTTTGTATCATAGGCCATTTCAATTTCCCATAGTTGCCACCAAGCCAAAGAAACAAAACCAACATGTAGTAAATAGAGCCAACAGATCCAACAAATGACAGAAATAGAGCCAACAGGGGCCTCAACTTTAGAATTTGTTGCTTGAATTCATCAATGTTAATTCATTGGCATGGAACCTATCTGACCATCCATTCTCTACAATAAGCCTTATGGAGTTGCTAGAGAATGGACTATTCAGATAGATTTGATGACAATCATGAGAGCCAGCACGAAGAAGACATGAAAAGCAACAACAACATTCTCATATGTGCAGCCACCTCATTTTTTGTTGATAGTTTGCATCATAGTCCATTTAAATTTCTCACAGTTGCCACCAATCCAAAGAAGCAAAAACCAACAATTCAGAAGTAAGAGAATAAACATCAACTGGTCTCAAATAAAGTAGCCAACAGAGGCTACAAATAGTGGCTTACAACAACATGTTCTGCCCAATAGTTCAGGGCTCAAATGCCTACCATGGTGCCCTCTAGCACATATAGTTAGCTACCCTCCCAGTAAACTAACCAAAAGGACAGGTGTGAGTCAGCCAAGTAAGCTACACAAAATACCTATAGCAAAGTGTGCCCAACTGTAGTCAAAAGAGGAGAGAGTGGGTGAGGGAGGTGGAGGAACTATACATCTCAACAGTCAACCCCCTCAGTTGCCATGCAGCCCAGCAGGTAGTTGAACTACATGTAGTAGTTCTTGGCTAGGTAGTTCCTAAGCCAAATGTCCCTATGGCTATCACTCATGCCAACAAAGTCCCTGCTTTGGGCTTTGTTGTCCAATAGGTAGGTGTAGGCCACAATGAAAGCCTCCCCAAAAAAGCCAGGAGTCTCCATAACAGCAAGGTAGAGATTAGCATCAACATGGGCTGGACCAGTTTCCCTAAAAGCATTAGCCACATTGTTCACTACATCGAACATGTTGGTGAGCAAGAGCATCTCATCCTCAGTGAATGTGCCTCTCTTCCTCTTCCCACCAACCCTAGAAGTGGCCAACACCGTTATGGCCTTGCTGCCCTCACCAACTTCAGTGTTGGTTTTCTCCTCATAGCCATTGTTCAAGGCAGTCCCATCAGCCTTAGCGGCTACACTATCAGCCTAGTTCACCCTAAGGGCCTCACCAGAACCTAGTGCAAACCTACCAATGGCCATTTCATGACCAAATATGGCCTCCATCTCTAGGTAGAACCTAATAGGACAGTTAAGGAACTTAGCATCCTTAGGGTGGTCCTGCAGGAGGCGATATAGTTTAGGTAACTGACAGAAAGACAAAGAAAAGGCATAGATGAGGAAACCATCTTAGTTAATCAACCTTGCAGTGCCTAAGGTAGTGCTCCCCCTCTAGCATAATTGCATTCACATCACTATCCTATAAGGCCCCACTAAGATCTTTTAGCTTACATATCCTAGCCTACTTCTGCCTCCACTTCCTCAAGTGGTTGTACACCTGAGTTGGGCTAACAGCCACCCCAGTGTACTCCTTAAGGTGCTTGGCCACTAAGTTAACATCCTTGTCCTTGAGAACCTTGTTAGGCCTACTACAATCACTCACTAGCTGGGCCATCCTCCTAAGCACAAACCTAGAGATGTTGTTGTTCCACCTCAAGGGCCCTGGAGCTACTGGTGGTGCAGCAGCAACAACAATAGCAGCACCAGCAACCTCATTCAAGAGGCCAACAGCAGCCACAAACCCTATGAAAGCCCTAGTTTGGTTTTGGATAATTGATGAAACCTAGGGACTAATCCTTATACTAAGTGTGTAGACATGAAATGATGGTCCCATTCCAAGTGGTGAGCAAGAGGATGATCATGGTGGATGGTGATGACCAAAAGATGATCAAGTACTTCACATTTGGAAAAGAAGAAAGAGAAAAATAAAAACCAAGGAGATCAAGGCAAATGTATAAGATAGGTTTTTGTTTTGGCACTTAAGACACCATAGATGGTGTAAGTGCATTTAGTATTGATAGCCGTACTATAAAGAGGGGAAATCTTTGGCTAAGCGGTTATCGAGTGCCAGTAGGTGACATAATTCTTGCATATGCATTTAGGAACCTAGTGTGATAACCTTGACCCTTGTAAAATACTTTGAAAAATGCTAACACACATGCACAGAAGTTCTACACTTTGTGGTTAGCAAGTTGGAAGCAAGGGTGAAGTGGTTGTGGACTTAGAAAAAGTAAAGGAGGCGAAGACAAAGGACCAGACGCTGGCTTCATCCTAACCGGACGCTGGCTAGCTGAGTCCGATCAATTATAGCGGTGGCACGGTTGCTGGCCGAGGATGAGGATAAGCAACTGGACGCTGGCCTCAGAAATAGGGCATGTGTCCGGTCAGGAGTTCTAGAGGCAGTGAGGCATAGCCTCGTGACCGGATGCAGGAGGATTCTTGTGACCGGGCGCACACAGCCTGTGTCGGGTCGAGTGCTGACGTACGCAGGTGTCAGCTCTCTGGCACGCGGAGAAGAACATTGAGTGGACCGGACGCAAGGGCATGTCAGGTCACCTTGGACCTGATGCATCCAGTCATTGTTTTTCAGTTCTAGAACCTCTCTGTTGTTGATCAGACGCAGCGCGGCCTGAGTCTGGTCAGTTCGAGGGTCCCGTCCGGTCATCACTTAACAGTGCTAGCTCTGAGTTTTGACCGTTGGGATAGGGCTATTGTGGTTGAATCGTGAGGACACATGGATGGCGATGGAGGACCAGATGCTAGGGACATGCGTCTAGTCATTCCCCATCTGCATGTTCGGTCGGCTCGGGAAATTAGGCAGTGGGGAGCCAATGGCTCTTTCATGGGTGGCTCCCTATTTAAGTGTGTTGGCCGGCCCTAGGCTCACTCTCTTGGCACTTTGACATACTTGACATCCTTGTGAGCCTAAGCAAACACCTCTCACTCATCTCCATCATTGATTCATCATCATAGTGAGATTGAGAGTGATTCCAAGTGCATTTGCTTGAGTGATTGCATCTAGTGGAACTTGGAGATCGTTGTGGCTGCGGATTTCTTGTTTCTCTTGATGGTTGCCACCACCTAGATAGCTTGGAGCAGCGGAGGAGCTTTAGCACGAGTTGGTGATTGTACGTGGCTGGCTTCGGTGATTATGAGGGGTCTTGCACCTTCCCTAGCGAAGAGCCGCAAGGTAGCTCTAGTAAATTGCTAGTGTCATTGAGTTACCTCACTTGTGGGTAGGTTCTTGTGGTGTCCATTTGTTGGACAATGTTTGTGCAACACCTCTTAGCCACCGAACCACTAAGTGTTGGTCAAATCAACAGGGACTAGCACTACTAGAAATATCCACTTCTATGATGAAAATGTTAATGACAAATCCAAAACCATCATAGAAGAGCGCTTTTTATGATGAATATTTCTGTTTTGTCAAAGATCGGTGGTGACGATCCTGCAACCCTCCCTTTCTATGATGAAATCAGGCATCGTCACAAAAACATCATAGAAGAGCGCAGGGTTTCATCACAGATCACTCACGCGACTCATCTGTGACGATCTCCTTTAAAACTATGACAAATAGGGCTTCATTAGTGAACTAATTACACATCTGTAACGAACAATATTCGATCTGTAACGAACGGCTTTATCATAGATCTCCACACAATACTTTCTCCATCTGATGTATACCTGTGGGACCTACAGTTACTCATCCATGATGCTTGCAATTCATCATAAAAGTCTCTGCTCAATCATATCTTCATGCGACGTGTACCTATGGGACCCTTCTTCATCCAACATGTACCTATGGGACCTGCAGTTACTCATCCGTGACGCTTGCAATTCATCATAAAAGTCTCTGCTCGGTCCTTTCTCCATCTGATGTGTACCTACGGGACCCTTCAACATCCGACCTGTGGGACCCGACGGCTTATGTGTCACATGTACCTGTGGGACCGTTCTCCATCTCCATCCGACCTATGGGACCCGACGGCCCATCTCCATCCCACCTGTGGGACCCGACGACTTGCGTGTCACTTGACGCTTGCAATTCGTCATAAAAGCCTCCACTCGGTCCTTCTACATCCGACCTGTGGGACCCGACGGCTTACGTGTCATGTGTACCTGTGGGACCTTTCTCCATTCCATCCAACTTGTGGGAACCAATGGTTTGGGTGTCACTTGTACCATGTGTGCCATCGGGGTTTAATTTTTCCAAAAAAGGGTCTGATACCTGGGAGTCGAACATGGGATCTAGACCAAGGATTGGAGCGTCTTTACCATTGCGCTAGACGCCTGGCTATGCTGACATCTCTTTGGAGTCGCTATAGTATCCTACTAGCTGTGTTATAGGTTGACCTAAATTGGATATATCCCTACAAGTGGAAACAAATCTATGTCCGCTGGACTTGTGGTGGTGGCGGCGGAGGAGGAGGATCCTCGGTCTGCTGTGGTGGCTGGGGCATCCTTTTGGTGGCATGGCGGGGCTCTCCCGGTTGAGCGTGGCGGCATTAGCGTCTGCGTGATCAGGTGTGTGCCATGGCAGAGGTGGCTTGCAGCCGAGCCATGCCAGTTCATAGAATAAAGGTATGAGTACTTTCTTCTATGATTATAGGACTCCATTTTCTATACACGATAAAGTAAAGAACATATAAAGAAAGGCTATTCTGTATGAATTTTAATTGAAATCAATGCTTTTGTCACACAAAAATAGAAAACCATACTGTCCCATAGTATGATATGAACAAATTCATAGATTAGTGCTCTCGAGCACTGTATGCTTTGTTCTAATGCTAGTTTTGCCATTGTCCACCCAATGGTCGAAACTCTAACGGACTTTGCATACTTTTGCTACAACAGATGGATAGATCCTGGATTCCTAATGGGAGACCATTCTCGCCGATGTTCATCATAGGAGTTGAGGAGTTCATGGATATGGTTAAACAAAAATACTCGGAGCAAAAATACCAGGTGGTTAAAACTTGACAGGAGGTGAAGGATGACTTACTTATATACAGAATGTCACCCACATACACCACATGGATTCATTATGGGGAAGAGGGTGGAGGTACTGACATTATAGAGCCATCAGATGTGCATGGATCTCATCATGATGGTTGGATTCGGAGGAGGAGGAGCAGGAGGACCGCGATGATAACATATTAACAGATTTTGATGATTTAGTTCAAAACCTATTGACATCTGAAGAGCGGGTTGAAAGAGTCCCAAAGTTTGAAAGAGTGTTGGATGAGTTGAAGCAATCTGTTTCTTCTAGATCTGCCTTCTCAAGATTCTACTTCCTTGTCAGGTTGCTCTATATCAAGTCCCACTATCGAGTTAGCAACATCCATTTTGATGCACTATTGGCGTTGCTGTTAGATGCATTCCCTAGTAGCAACATACCAAAATCATGTGAGGAGGCCCACAAATATATTCGAGAATTGGCACAATGTTATGAAAGCATCTGTTGACACCTGTGGAGGCACATAGAGATAAAATCTACAAGCGCACGGGTATCGAAGTAGTTTTCACCTAGAGTATTATCGAGTATCGTATCCACGGGAAAATGTGTGTGTGTTGTCTAACAAGTTTGTCCAGGGATAGCAATCAAGGTTTAAGGTATGAGTAGAGAGGATTCCTATGGTTGTGACCCTATGCAAAGCAAGGCTTATGATTCTAATGTTCACTTTGGGACGCCGCTTAAACGGTAAAGCACCGCTAATAGATAACTCTACCAACATGACTACGGTCCTACTAATTTAAGAACCTGCTCAATTCGATGTGGACTACAAAGGATATACGGGGCTGTCACCTCCTGTTGCTACCACACAACCAAAAATTAGGGAGCAAACATAGGTAGCCGATAGCCTAAGCACCACGCTTATACTAACGATTACTAATCTAATCCAGCTAGCAAGAACTAGAGCACTCAAAAGAACTATGAACCTGTGAACAAAAGAGCACAAAACTTACTTTAAACAGAAATCAATTACCAGAAGTATCTTAGATGTAGACTTGGTGAAGCCTAGATACGCCAAAGTACAAGCCGTAGAGGTAGCACTGACAGACCGGTACTTCCTCAAAACTCTTCCCTCACTAATTATATTGCAAGACTAGATCCTATAGAAGACTAATCTTCTCTTGAGAACTGGCTTTGATCCTGACGAGGAGGATATGAATTAGGGTTTTAGGATGGCTCCAGGGAGGGGGACAGGGGCTGGTATATATAGGCCAGAGTGTCAATTCTGGACCCTTGGATCAAACTGACTTGATAGAGCGACGTAGATGCAATTTAGGAGGCGGTGGAGAACCGACATTCAAAGGAGAGGCTGACAGGTGGGCCTAGGGGGCCGAGCGGCCTATAGGTGGGTCCAGCCGGCCCCACATGGCAGCCACCTGCCCTCCGCTTCGGTGGTTTGCCTTCTGGAGTCTTCTAGAATCTTCCCATGTTGGTTTCACAGCGGATAAACATGATTTGCTTTGATGAATAGGTCCTCCTTGCTGGTTTTCTAGATAAACCCTGGTGAAAACACAGATTCACCAAAACTCATGGAATTTGTCAGTTTAAACCCCTAAACCTATGTTGCCGATCATTTTCATGCATTTATACAAGTTATGTTG